CTTGGAAGAGGATAGAGACTCGGGATCAGATTTGGGCTCAGACGATGCTACGATCACTGTAGATACCAGCCCCGAGCTTCAGCCTCGGTACAACGACACCCGGGCTCTCTCCCATGAAGTACCATCGGACACTGAGGTCTTGGCTGATGATACATTTTGGGAAGCTGACCTGGGCTGTGGGGTGGAGTCGGCCGATCGAGCGAAGAAGAGAAAATTCACTGATGAGGAGGATACACCCTGCAAGTTTCCTCAGTTAGAGAAGGGTTACAAACTTGGCCCGAGGAGTGCCCGACCAGGCAAAGTCAAATGCCGAGCTGCCTCGGCTGTTATCCAAGCCACTGTCAAACCAGCTCAAGCAACCAATCTGAGGTCGGACACAACCAAAGCTTCGAATAGCTTTGATTTCACTAAGTCAAGTGGTGTCAACGCAAAACGACCAGTCCCTTCAAAACAAAAGGAGTCAGAGGCCGGTCCCAGTCAGCAACCATCTATTGATGTCCCCACCAAGCCAAAACCAAAACCTCGTCCTATCATTAAAGGCAAGGTTTCTACAGGGGAACTCGGTATAGTAACCCGAGAATGGTCGAAAAAGATTGCTGAAGAAAGTGTTCGTTCCACCCGGTCCAAGAAAGTTTCATTCGTCAGTTAAACCTATCATGTTTAATGATGTTAGTCATTCATGCCCGGGTGCGAAATACATAGCATGTTCAATGATGTTAGTCTGTGTCCGGTTTCAGCAGTGTCACTTTTCGTAGTTCATCATGTTTTCCTATCATGAAAGGCAAGGGTTGAAAAGGTGTTCGTTTGACTAATTGAGCCGGGAGGCTTGTCTTATGACCAATTAAATGTGAGCACTATCCGGCAGCGGGTATCTTCAACCGTGCCCGGGTGCAAACTACATAGCGAACCAACCTCGGTCTTGTGATCTAATCTTCTACTTAAACCCTGGTCCATCCCTTTTGTCCCTCCCCTTCCCCTTGTCTGGGATCTCGTCTGGGATGAATGGCCGTAGTCCTTCTAAAGTAGCGTCCATTGCTGCAACCAGATCACGGTCTGAATCGATTTGTTCACGCAACCGGTCTTTCTCCCTCCTCAAGGTGGCCAAAACATACCGATAATGGCTCGTTGTCGCTATGCTGTCAGGCAGGGATCTGAGCGCCTCCTGGTGAATTTCGCTATGACGAACCAGGTCCATACGATCCATCTCGGTAAACTCATCTCCCCTCGTCAACAATTTATCAAAGGCGGCCTGCAAATTCCTAATCGAAGGGTCGGATGAAGCCTCGGGGTCCATAGCTCTTTCCCACACTTTGCCAATTGCCTGAACGACCTCGGCTACCACGCCCGTGCGATCACCAATGCTGTCATCAGACACAACCTTGATATTGTACTTGCGACATANACCCCTTGCACGTGGGGAGTTTGGATCAAGTCCAACAATTCGGTCGAAGGTGGTGGGCGTGGTGTTGTCCTCTCTTGAGTGTAGACGAAGACAGGAGCCGGGCCGAAAACGAAGGCATCGCCTGGCCGAGTTGGCAGAATGGCAGCTCCTCCTTGGCCCTGGAGTCGTAATTTGGCCTCTGATGATTTCGTCAGATACTTCCGTGATCCCAGAGTACTATTGGACCTTGAGGCGCCAGGGGAAGACATGCCTGGTTTGTCAGAGGCAGGAGCTGGAGCAGACGTGCCAGGTGTTTGAAAATCAATGGAAGGCTGAACAGCCGAGGCCGGGGTAAATGAACGATGGACTTGAAAATCGAAAGGGGATCCTTTATTAGCCGAGGCTGGTGCAGGGTTGTTAGGCTTTTGGAAATCGAAAATGGATGGCTGACGAGCCGAGGACGGGGGAACAGGCGGCACATTCGTTGAAGTGTCCACTTGCTGAAAATCAAAAATCGATGCCTGACGAGCCGAGGCTGGTGCAGGGATGTCAGGCTTTTGGAAATCGAAAATGGATGGCTGACGAGCCGAGGACGGGGGAACAGGCGGCACATTCGTTGAAGTGCCCACTTGCTGAAAATCAAAAATCGATGCCTGACGAGCCGAGGCTGGTGGAGATCTGCCAGGCTTCTGGAAATCGAAAATCGATGGCTGATGAGCCGAGGACAGGGAAACAGGCAGCACATTCGTTGAAGTGCCCACGTGCTGAAAATCGAACATTGATGCTTGATGAGCCGAGGTCGGGGCAAAAGCTGAAGTACCGACTTTCTTAAACTCGAAAATGGATTGGTGAGCCGAGGCTGGGGTGAATGGGTTGGAACTTAGAGCAGGGGTAGGTTCTTTGAAATCAAAAATGGATCTGTGAGGAGCCGAGGATGGGACGTCCACTTCCATCACTAGTTCGGATTCTTGGCTCTGTCCTATCAGCCACCCAGAATTTAGGTTTGGCTAGTTTTCTGTCACCGACTGGAACTCACCACTTAGTTGAAGAGGGGGTAGAGCCTCGGCCGTTCCTAAGATATGGTTAGAACTGCTCAGCCGACAAGAGTACATAAAACTTACCATCCTTCATTTCTTGGTCTTTCATCACAGCTTCTGTTTATCTACATTAAGTAGACAATCCTTGGTGTGGAGTAGGGACAATACCTGGATTTGTTAAAGACATATCAGTCAGAGAGTAGATAGCTTTTCCTGGGATTGCACTGTGTGGTTGGTGATGAAGACGCATTGTTTTTCAATGGTGGGAAAGCAAGCCACTGCAGATCGGCCATGGAACATTCTGCGGATCTCGGTTGAACATTGTACGGATCTCGGTTGAAGTAACGCCACCACGTGACCGCGTTTACAACTTCGTAATTTCACATTCACCATTGTCCCATTCCAACGTGCACATTCACCACCCTCGATCGTCCCATTCCCACTTACCATGTCCACTGCTGAACTTGCTCAAGCCGCTCAACAGGCCCATACCCTCACTCCCGGGTTCTTGGAGGATGTTAGGGTGGCCACCTCCACGCTTTTGAACTTTTACAACCGTCACAGGGAAGGTCTTCTGGCCCACCAACGGACGGTGGAAGAGGATGCATACGGGAAAGCTGTGAGTGACTAACAATGATTTGTTGACTGAAATTGGATCTCTTTCTCCTACAGGAACGATTTGTACGTTTGCTCATCGACAAGAATATGTGGTATAACGCGGCCCAGTGGCTCAACCACCCTTGGATTTTGGCGTACACGGAAATGGCCCGAGCGGGACCATCGGTTGATTGGACCAAAATGTTCTCGATCCCACAACCCACCACCCCTACCTTCTTTATGGAAGGTTATGCCGGTCCCTCTCCCCCTTTACCTCCATCTTCGACCGATTCATTGCTCCCAGTCACAGTCCCAACTCCCCCATTGCCGGTACTGACAGCTTCATCATCGCTCCCGGCCCCAACAAAACCAACGCGTCGGGCAAAATCAACCGATCCTGTGCCAGCGGCTGAAACGAAGTCCAAGAGTAAGACGAAGTCTGGGCGAAGGAAACCCGAGGCCGGGTCCAGCACCCAGCCTAACGACACCGCTGCCCCAGTCCAAAGCAAAAAAAGAAAAGGGGACTCGATCGAAGCCAGG